TCTGGGCCGGGCCGGAGCCCGGCCCGAGTCACCCGGGCCCGGGTCCGAGCTTCGGCTTTGCCCGGTCGGCCCGGATAGACACCCCTAGGTATCATCCACAATTTTTTCAAATTATTTTCTTTTCTCTCAAATGATACTTAAGTATGTATAAATAAAAGGTTGCGATATTCATGGGCAATAATCAACAATTTTTTGTCAATTTTTGTTAGTTTCAAGATAAAGGCAATTAAATACGCGTAGCGTAATATTCATTATCTTCATAAATTATAAAGCATGATTTTCGTCAATTTTTGCTCATTTCGACCAAATAGCAATTAAGTACGGGTAATTAAAAGTTTATGATTTTCATGTTTTATAACTTAGGATGTTTCCATTTTTGTTCATTGCGACCAGATCGATGCAAGTATATTTATATAAAAATTTACGATTTTCATTGTATATAACACATATTTTGTCGATTTTATTCATTATGACCAAATGGCAATTAGGCATGCATAGTTACAATTTCATGATTTTCCGAGGCTATTACTCACGATTTTTGCAACTTTTGATTGCTTCAACCAAATGAAAATTAAATATGTATAAAAAAATTTATAATTTTCATTGCCTATAACACCATGATTTTTGTCAATTATCATATATTTCAGCCAAATGATAATTAAGTATGTGTAGTTACAAATTCATGATTATCATGGGTTATAATCCATTAATTTTATAGCTTTTGCTCCTTTTGGCCAAATGGAAATAAAGTATGTGTACATAAAAATATGCGATTTTCATAGGCTATAACCCATGGTTTTTTCTATTTGGTTCATTTTAACCAAATAACAATTAAGTACATCTACCTAGAAAATCACAATTTTCATGGACTATAAACAATAATTTTTATCATTTTTTGTTCATTTCGACCAAATGGCAATTAAGTATGAGTAGTTAAAAATTCATGATTTTCATAGCCTATAACCCATAAATTTTCCCTTTTTTGTTTTGACCGTATGTAAATTAAGTATATGTAAATAAAAAATTCCTACTTTTATAGTCTATTTGTTGGTTTTCATTCATTCTGACCAAATAACAATTAAATATGTATAGTTCAAAGAAATTTATTTTCTTAGGCTACAACCCATGATTTTTTACAATTTCTGTCTTATTCGGCCAAACAAAAATTAAGCATGTGAACTTAAAATTTTGCAATTTTTAGCGGGCTATAAGCATGATGTGTGTTAATTTTGTTCCATTTTGACCAAATGACAATTAAACACGTGTACTTTAAAGTTCATGATTTTCATAGGCTATATAAACTACGATTTTTGTATTTTTTGCTCGTTTCAATCAAATGGAACTCAAATGTGCACATAAAAATTGTGGTTTTTATAAGCCTATAACACATGATTTTCGTTAATTTTCGTTCATTTAAACCAAATGTCAATTAAGTACGCATAATTTAAAATACATGATTTTTATAGACACTGCAATTTTCAACCAATTGGAAATTAAGTATGTTCATATCAAAATTTTTGATTTTCATGAGCTATAATCTATGATTGTTGTGAATTTGAGCTCATTTCGACCAAATGACAATTAAGTATGCATTGTTTAAAATTCATGATTTTTATGGGCTATTACCCATAAATTTTGTAATCTTCGCTCGTTTCAACCAAATGAAAATTAAGTATGTATACGTAAAGATTGATTATTTTCATGGGTAACCTATGATTTTTGTCAATAAGCATTGAATCGACCAAATGGTAATTCAGTTTATGTAATTTAAAATTCAAAATTTTCATGGGCTATAACTCACAGTTTTACAAATTGTCATTTTGACCAAATAAAAATTATTTAGTTATGTTTCAAAATTATAATTTTCATGGGCCATAACCTAGGATTTTTTCTCAATTTTCGTTCATTTCGAATATATCACAATTAGGGATATGTGCTTAAAATTCATGATTTTCATAAGCAATTACCCACAATTTGGTCTATTTTTGTTCTTTTCATTCAAATCGTAATTAAGTATGTGTACATAAAACATTGCGGATTTTATTGGCAATAATCCACGATTCTAGTGAATATTTTGTCAACTGAATAAAATTTTCCCTACGTATGTTAAAATTTACAATTTTCATGAGCAACCCATATTTTTTGTTAATTTCCGTTCATTTCATCCAAATAGAAATTAAGTACACCTAGCTCAAATATTCATGATTTTCATAAGTTATAACTCAAGATTTTTGTCATTGTTTATTCATTTCGATCAAATAACAATTAAGTATGGATAGTTTAAAATTCATGATTTTCATAGGAAATAACCTATGATTTTACTCAATGACCATTCATTTTGACTGAAGGGCAATCAAGTATGTGTATATAAAAAATTGTGTTTTTCATGGATTATAACTCATAATTTTTGGTAATTTTGGTTCATCTCGACTAAATAGCCATTAAGTACATGTAGTTCAAAATTCATGATTTCCATAGGTTATAAACCACAACTTCTATCAATAGGCTATATCCCACGATTCTCTCAATTTTTGTTCATTTTGACCGAATGGAATTTAATCTCGACTAAATGACAATTAAGTATACGCAATTCAAAATTCATGATTTTCGTTGATTACAAACCCTGACTTTTATTAATAGGCTATATCCCACGATTTTTTCAATTTTTGTTCATTTTGTCCGAATGGAAATTAAGTATGTACACATAAAAGTCTGTGATTTCAATGGACTATAGCGCATGATTTTTGCCTTTTTTTATTCATTTCGACTAAAAGACAATTAAATCAAAATTCATCATTTCATGGGCTATAACCCATTATTTTTTGCAATTTTGGTTCATTCCAATCAAATGAAAAGTAGGTATGTGTACATAAAAACTTGCGCTTTTTATAGGTTATATAACTATGTGGTGTCCATCTTGATCCTTTACGACCAAATAGCTATTAAATATGCATAGTTGAAAATTTATGATTTTCATGGGCTATGACCCATGATTTTGTAAGTTTAGTTCTTTTAATTCAAATGGTATTTAAGTATGAGTACTTCAATATTTGTGAATTTTCGTTAGTTTTAAAGAAATTTACTTGTGTACAATAAAATTTACGATTTCATGGGTAACACATGATTTTTGCCAAAACTGCTCATTTCATCGAAATGACAATTAAGTACGCGTAGCTCAAAATTCATGGTTTTCATACTATAACCTACAAATTTTGTTAATTTTTTATTATTTTGACCAAATGACAATTATGTAGAGATATACCCTTTTATAGGGCTTGTCTAAACCAATATGATCTCTAAATATCCATTACCGGTTTTTGGCTATTTCAGGCGATATATCCCGATATGGCTAATATGTCAGCCGATATGTTGATTGATATATCCTTTTATATGGTTCCTTAGAAAATAATGTATCGCATTTGGCAATTTTCAGGCAAGATACATGATTTTTCCATTATATCAAATGTCATTTTGGCCCAAAAAATAAGACGAAATGTTTTAATGTTGATTTGTACTTTTGTTTGTTTTACAAGGTCGATTAGTGATCCTAAACATATATTATTCATATCCTGTATGCTTAGATTTCATTAAGTATGTTGAGATTATATATGCAAACTCCCGTTATGACATTCCTATATTTACCACATATCCCTGCTATCTGCAAACCGATACGAATTTTGGTCATCTGATATTTCCTAGATAACTGATATTAAAAACCTTGATTATAAGTGATGAAATATTAGAAAGGGAAATTGTTATAGGACCAGTAATGTTAAGAGCAGTGTGTTGTTATGCTGAGGGATGGTGCCATAAACTATTGTGTTGCTAATGTTAAGAGCAGTGACTCTTTGCCTTCGACGGCTGTAGAAAACACCCAACCAAGTGCAAAATGAGACGTTGGTGGTCCAATTGGTGGATAGAATGCTGCCCGGATCACATTCGATGACCCAAGCTTTGATGGTCACAAGAGCTTAGATGCCGATCATGTTGTTATGCATCACCGCCAATGATGTGGTAAACTATAACAGCATCAGATGCATGATTATAAAGACAGATTGGTATTGATGAAGACTATAAAGATGAAAGGAATCAACACTTCATGCGGGAAAATACTCAACATAAGTATGTCAAATGTAAGTGTATCAATTTATAGCATGTTTGGGAAGTGACTTATTTTAACTTATAAGAGTCCAAGATCATGTTTGGTAAATGTTACTTATTTACGTTTTCCCCCTTATACCACATATTTGTCTTTCATTTCACATTTTCTTGGACTCTTAACAGTCCTATCCCATGCAAATATGCAATACTTTTGGAAATTTAGTCTTCAACCCTGTATCACAATCTTGTCGTTCATTTAAAAATATCTCACTTGATACAAAGACCTTGTGAGGATGAATCAACTATTAACAGCTTTCACATTTTGAACAAATATATTAAAATTAGAAAATAATATTGTGTCCTTGCCTCTTTTTGGAGTTCATATTCTACACTTCATGGATGGGACAGATATAGCACATAAGCTTAAAATGCAGCAATCATAGCAGGAAACGATAAAATAATAACGTTTATTAATCTGTAACAACCCCCCTTCTCATCTGTATATGTGATTTTTTTACGACCAATGCTCTTAATATCCTGATGAACATACACATCATCCAATTTTTTAAGAAAATGCTAAGTACAAAAAACCAAGTTAACCCATGGGGTTTTCATCAATTAATGAATCTTCCATACAAAAATTGTTAGGAGATATTCAGAGATAAAATTTGCAAAAGTGAGAGAGCATAAAAGGGCCAAATCATAGCCATGGGGTTTCAACAAAAACGAACAGAAGAAGGGGGGTAAAACTCAAAAATGAACCGGAATCAGAGTTTACCAATATTCCACTAACACCATTCAATCACTCCCTCCAAAATGATCCATTTTGAATCTTTATCGATAAAATCTGCATCAAAAACAAAAGAAAAAGATAAAAAGAGGAGGAGTCTGGACTTAACCTGAGGAGGAGGAGGCCCAGCTGGCGAAGAACGGCGTGGCAAAACTCGCGAACAGTGAGATCTGCATCCTCGATCACTGAACCTTCCGTTGGTTGCTCTGGTTTCGGAGGAAATTTTGGGGATTTTTCTCTCGAGCTCGTTCCGATTAAAACCCTGGAGCAGCAAAGCGCGAACGAAATGCTACTTCTAGCTTGATCTCGTATCGTCGGCGCGTTCTGTCCCGACGCCATCCGTATTTGCGCAATGTCACCACC